TGCCCAACCAGAACGACCTTGCCGATATTGCATGCTTACCTGCTCGTCGGCGAGCCGGGAACTGCTCCTCCGCGTCTTCTGGGCGTTACGCCCAGATCAAAGATGGCGCTCACCACGTGGTCGCGCCGATCACAAGCTCCGCCCCTCAAATTTATACGGACGTGCGCGTGACGTCACGACGTCGACACACACGCACGTTCTGGGGTCAGAGGTCACCCTCTGACCAATCAGATCCCAGAGAGGGATATTTAAATCCCTAATTCACTCCAGTTCCTTGCCCTGTCGTGGTTTCCTGTTCCTGGTTCCCGAGAGTGCATTTATCTTTGTGAATCTGACTTCCTGGTATCCTGATCTTGGCTGTTCCCTGGTTATTCCGAATTCTGGTTCCCCTGACTTGGCTTGTTTAAATGGTATCTGAGTATTTCTGGCTTCCTTGACCTCGGCTTTCCCTTTGACCATTCTCTATCTCTAGCGTATTAGTCCGGCCATTCTACGGTCCGGTTTACGCTCTGTCCTTTTATTTCCTTTTTTATGTATATGTTTACATGGTTTCTGCCTGTTGGACCACCCTAGCAGCCGTGACACACAACGGTTTTGTTTTCTGAAGTCGGTAAGTCTAGCACAAAATCCATCGCTATACTAGACCATGGTTTAGTCAGAAAAGGCAATGGCATGAGTAAACCACATGTTTTTTGCGTGGATATTTTGTTGCAGAACATATGCTACAAGCAAAGACATATTCTCAAACATCCTTCTTGTAGGAGGGCCACCAGAAACATTTAGCTAGAAGAGACTAGGTCTTGTATATACCAGGATGAAAAGCCGTCTTGGCATCATGCATAAGCGACAATACCTTTTCTCTATGAAATATACTAAGTATTAAATGTGTGTGTCCACAACTCACAAAACTGTGGGAGTGGAACACACAAAGGTCAGGATGGTGGTTCCAGATCCACCAGTAGAGGGCTTGTACCCGAAATAAAATATTAGAAAATAGAGAGTGGTAAAGTCTCAGACTCAGGACTGGTTTTAAACAAAATATAGGAAATGCTTAATACATGTTATGACTAAAATATCAGCACTGAGCACTAATAGAGAAAATTGTCCATTAATATATAATATATTATATATATTAGTTCCAAAAGGTGCCACAAAAAAATGATAGAAATAAAGATACTTTATTATGATTCTGATAAAAGAAAGAGGGCACTATAAATGGAATCTCAAAAATAAGAAAATAATAATAAGATATATAGAAAAATGGACCAAATATCTATAGAGGGGGAGACCAAAACCTAAAGTTGTTATATAATGGCTAGCCTCAAAACAATGAGGTAGAATAGATAGCCATGAAACAGGCAGTCAGAGGGTAACAAAAGGGATATATATATATATATATATATATATATATATATATATATATATATATATATACAGTAAATCTGCCCTACTGCTCCTAAATAGAGATGTCGCGAACTGCTCGCCGAACTGTTCGCGAACTGTCCGCCGGCGAACAATAGCGTGTTTGCGTTGGGCGAACATATGCGATTTCCGGTCCGCCCCCTATTCGTCATCATTGAGTACACTTTGACCCGGAACCTCACAGTCAGCAGACACATTCCAGCCAATCAGCAGCAGACCCTCCCTCCCAGGAAGTGTCTGCTGACTGCGAGGTTCCGGGTCAAAGTGTACTCAATGATGACGAATAGGGGGCGGACCGGAAATCGCATATGTTCGCCCAACGCGAACTCGCTATTGTTCGCCGGCGGACAGTTCGCAAACAGTTGGGCGAGCAGTTCGCGACATCTCTACTCCTAAATGGAACACCTTCAAGGGTGTTCTATGCTGTCCCTAGTAGTATATAGCAAGGAAAAACAACCCAGTAGAGAATACTTGACAGAGCAGCATATATAAGGAGAAATATAGATCAAAAAATATAATCCCTAGATATTTGGTCCATTTTTCTATATATCTTATTATTATTTTTTATTTTTGAGATTCCATTTATAGTGCCCTTTTTCTTTTATCAGAATCATAATAAAGTATCTTTAATTCTATAATTTTTGTGGCACCTTTTGGAACTAATATATATAATATATTATATATTAATGGACAATTTTCTCTATTAGTGCTCAGTGCTGATTTTTTAGTCATAACATGTATTAAGCATTTCCTATATTTTGTTTAAAACCAGTCCTGAGTCTCATTTTATTGAGACTTTACCACCTTTTCTCTATGAACTGGAGGTAAGTATATCCTGTCAGAAGGGATAGGTAAGGATGCCTGATTCTGAAGCTTTTCTAACTTTTCTATCAGTTCCGAACTGACTACAGTTTTAGTTGTGGTTAAAATGCATTCATCAAGTATTATGGGTGACTTTTGAGGTTGGGTAAAGGTTTGAGGTTCAGACTGACTGGATAGAGCATCAGCCTTAGCGTTTTTTGACTCGAGTCTGTATGTCACCCTGTAATTAAAACGCAATAAAAATAGAGACCATCGAGCCTGTCTATCAGTCATTCTCTTGGCCTCCCCAAAATAAGGTACGTTTTTGTGGTCGTTAAGAATAGTAACCGGTATAGTAGACCCCTCTAATAGATGTTGCTATTCCTTTAGAGCAGTAATGGTAGCCAATAATTCTCTATCGCCTATGTCATACCTCCTTTCGGTTTTGGTCAATTTATTGGAATAAAAACCACAAGGATGTAGAGTAAGTCATACAACGGTCTCTGAGACAGACCAGCCCCTAGACCTGTCTCAGATGCATCAACCTCTAATGGAAAAGGGCAAAAGTTTTCGTTAGAGCATTAAAAGCAGCAGTGGCCTCTGGAGTCCACTGTTGGTGTGATCTCCCTTTTTTGGTCACAGACATGATAGGTGCCGTTATAGAAGAAAACCCTTTTACGAACCTTCAAAAATAACTGGCAAAGCCCAAGAAATGTTGTATGGATTTTAAACCAACTGGTAGAGGCCAATTAAGTATCGTCTCAAGCTTTTTTGGGTCCATCTGAAACCCAGAACCTGAAATAATATACTCTAAAAAGTTGACCTCACTCTTTTCAAACAGGCACTTTTTCCAATTTACAGTATAGTCCGTTTTCCAAAAACTTGGATAAGACTTGTTTAACATGATCATGGTGTTCCTCTATGTCCTTAGAATATATTAAAATGTCATCCAAATAGACTATTATGAATTCCTGTAAATAGTGCCTTAGTACATCATTCATAAAGTCTTGAAAGACAGCTGGAGCATTACATAAGCCGAATGCCATAACCGCATACTCATAATGATCATATTGTGTGTTGAAAGCGGTCTTCCATTCATCTTCATCTTGGATACGGACTAAGTTGTATGCCCCTCTCATATCTAGTTTAGTGAAAATTGATGCACCTTTGAACCTGTCAAAGAACTCAGTTATCAATGGCATTGGGTAAGCGTTGCATATGGTGATTTTGTTTAGACCCAAATAGTCTACACAGGGACGTAAATCCCCTTCTTTCTTTGAGACAAAAAAGAAACCTGCACCAGTGGGTGAAGATGACTTGGTTATGAAGCCTTTTCTTAAATTCTCAGTAATGTATTCCTCCAGCACTTTGTTCTCTTTAGCAGTTAAGGGGTAAACGGAGGCATAGTTCCAGGAAGCAAGTTAATAGCACATTCATAGGGATGGTGAAGGGGTATTTTCTCTGCTTCTCTTTGCTCGAAAACAGCCTTAAGGTCTAGGTAAGGGTTTGGTACCTGTGTCGTCAATGGTTTCATGGTGGGAACATTTAGCAAACAAACAGGTTTAAACTTAGTCATACAAGACTCATTCCACTTGGTGATCTCCTTTCTCTCCCAATTTATCAGGAGGGTGATTATAAACCCTATCTTAGCTCGGTCGGTAAGATAGGCTTGGGTTGGAGCTCAAAGTGTATACTTATTTGATTTAGGAAACCACAACAAGCACTAGGATCTACTCAGTAAGGCAAGGGGGATGTTATGTGGGTGGACGCACCTACAGTGGCTACCTCTAGGTTTGAGGTGTTGGTTACCGGGACGGTTATTTGCTCATCTGGCTGCAGATGTCCAGTACGATTAAGCAATTATTATTATTATTATTATTATTGCCATTTATATAGCGCCAACAGATTCCGTAGTGCTTTACAATATTATGAGAGGGGATTTAACTATAAATAGGACAATTACAAATAAACTTACAGGAACAATAGGTTGAAGAGGACCCTGCTCAATCGAGCTTACATTCTATAGGAGGTGGGGTGAAAAACACATTAGGACAGGAATTTGCAATCAAATAAGGTGGGCTGCCCTTTAGGAGAGGGCAAGAGACGGGTATGTGAGGTAGGGGTTAGTCTTGGAGGCCATAAGCTTTCCTAAAGAGATGGGTTTTAAGGCACTTCTTAAAAGATGCAAGACTAGGGGAGAGTCTGATGGCGGTAGGCAGGCTATTCCATAGGAAAGGAGCCGCCCGCGAGAAGTCCTGTAAGCGCGAGTTGGCCGTACGGGTGCGGACAACGGACAGGAGGTGGTCACGGGCAGAGCGGAGAGACCGAGAAGGGACATACCTGTGGATCTGTGAGGAGATATAAGAGGGGCTAGAGTTGTTCAGTGCTTTATAGGTGTGAGTTAGTGCCTTGAATTGACTCCTATAGCACACAGGAAGCCAATGTAAGGACTGGCAGAGGGGTGAGGTGTGAGAGAACCGACTAGAGAGGAAAATCAGTCTAGCAGCAGCATTCATTACAGACTGTAGGGGTGCAGTATGGCTTTTGGGAAGACCAAGCAGGAGAGGGTTACAATAATCCATGCGTGAAATTATTAGAGCATGGACAAGCTCCTTGGTAGTATCTGGTGCAAGAAAGGGGCGGATGCGGGCTATGTTTTTAAGATGGAATCTACAGGATTTGGCAACATGCTGGATGTGAGGCTCAAAGGTGAGATCAGAGTCAAGTATGACGCCAAGACAGCGCGCTTGCAAGGATGGGCTGATGTTGGTACCACAAACTTGAAGGGAGAGCGAAAGAGGAGGATCAGTATTAGGAGGAGGAAAGACAAGGAGCTCAGTTTTTGAGAGATTGAGTTTCAGAAAGCGGAAGGACATCCAGTCAGAGATGGAAGAAAGGCAAGCAGTGACACGTTGCAGGACAGCAGGGGAGAGGTCCGGGGAGGAGAGATATAGCTGGGTGTCATCAGCGTACAGGTGGTAGTGGAATCCAAATGAGGTAATAAGTTTGCCAAGAGAGGCAGTATAAAGAGAAAATAGAAGGGGACCAAGGACGGAGCCTTGGGGGACTCCAACCTAGACAGGGCGAGGGGAGGAGGTATCATTAGAAAAAGAGACACTGAATGAGCGTTGGGAGAGATAAGAGGAAAACCATGAGAGGACAGAGCCACAGAGACCAAGTGATTGCAGAGTTTGAAGAAGGAGAGCATGATCAATGGTGTCAAAGGCCGCTGAGAGGTCAAGAAGAATTAGTATGGAGTAGTGGCCTTTGGATTTAGCTGCGATTAGGTCGTTAGTAACTTTGATAAGGGCAGTCTCTGTAGAGTGGAGAGGGTGGAAGCCAGATTGAAGGGGGTCAAGGAGAGAGTTGGAATTGAGGAAATGAGACACACGGGTAAAGACGAGTCTTTCCACACACGGGTATGTCTGTAACGCAATGGCAAACTGGTCCATATGGTGATTCAACTCCTCAGAACGTGTGTCATAAACCGGTCCATGTGGGTTAACACCTGCAGGGTCAATGGCCCTATTGTAATGTCACGACAAGTGACCCAAACACGCAAAGTATAACCCAAATAGAAAAGGTATTACCGGACCTTAGATTGGCCGGGTTTAACGTAGATAGAATAGTTGAGGTTAGCCAAGGATAATGATAAGGAATAGCCGAGTCAAGGAACCAGAAAACAGGATGAACGAGAAAACAAGCCGAGTAAGGATACCAGAAGGAAGAATAGTCAAAAATCACAAGCCGAGTCAAAATATCAAGATACACAGACAGAATAAAGGTAGCACTATAGGGAACTACCAGTAAACCACAATAGGGCACTGAACAAAAGCAAAAGGCGCGATTTTATAGTGGAGCGTCTATTGCTTTAAATCCACGCCCCCAAAACGTAAGGGAGCGTGGAATATTTTTAATTTTCGTGGCACAGCCGCTATGACTTGCAGAGAGTCCAAGTAAGTGGATTAATCTCTTAAGAGCAAACATTAGGCTGCTAGTGTAAGACCTGCCAAGAATGGGGTTCATTGATGTTGTGGCAGGCTTATACAATATATGATCATATAATGTAACTAAACCCCCATTATTTTTTGCCTAGGTGAGGTGTTTTTATATAAAACTATTACAATTGCTAAGATTTGAAATCATTGTTTAGTGAATAAGTGAGTGCGCTGGATTTTGTATTTTGTGTATTTTGGCCCCAGCAGAACCCTATAATTTATGTATGTTCAGGTGAGTGCAGCCCTCTTGGTTTTATATATATATATATATATATATATATATATGTATATATAAAAAGTCTCAATAGGCGTGGATATAACCGGTGATGAATGCCAATTTCTGACCTGTATAGTCCAGGAAGTAAAAAGCCCACACCGTGCTGCAGTTGTCAACCGGCACCCTCGGTCGCCGAGAGGTTAAATATCAAGGCCAGCGGGGGTCAAAAAGCAAAGCTAATAGTGTTCACTGATCGGTGGTTGTTTGTGTGCAATCTCCTACGTGTTTCATGAATAAGTCTCCACTTCCTCAGGGAGCATGAACAGGGGGCTTTTTGATCCTTGCTGGCCTCAATATTCCACCTCTTGCCGAGCGTGTTGCTCTCCTTAGCTGAGTAGTGCGTTGAATGATACTGGAGGTAGACTGCCACCACTGGAAGCCGGCCCTCACTGAATTCAATCTTGCTGGGGCCTCCAAAATGTGGCACCCTCACCGTGTGATGAGGGTATAAAAATGTTTTTAATAAGCACACATTACTGCTGCTGCGGTGCCACAAGAGTATAATCTATCTTCCTACAGCTCCTAACTGACAAAAACTTGCCCCCTCCCCAGGGCCTGTGCAAGGATTTTTGCCACCCTAGGCAAACAAATATTTGCCGCTCCCACCCCCCCGCATCACAATGCCCCATCCATATGATCTGCTATATGAGCCAACATCAGTGCTGCATATAGTGTCTTTTCTCTGAAAAGGCAGTGTGTTTATATTAAAAAGTCTGCAGGGACAGATACACCAGAACCACTACATCAAGCTGTAGATGGTTCTGGTGACTATAGTGGCCCTTTAATGTGAGGTAAATTAGGGATTAGTGCCACCAATAATATACTGGATTGCCTACTTACCACCAGATGAGGACAAGATGATGATGATGGGCACAGGCAGGGCCGGCCTTAGGCAATTAGGCGCCCTGTGCAAAAAGTCTTCACGGCGCCCCCCCCACCTCCCACCAAGTTGCCTGAATACAGTAACACACACAGGCACCGGGGACGTGTGTATCACGAGGCAAACAAGGCATCTGCCTTGGGCGCCACTTTGCAGGGGGCGGCAAAAAAAAGCATCCCTCCAAACCCCCAGGCAGATCCCTTGCTTGCCTCGCATCCTGGGGGGCTCAAGAGCTGACCGGCTGGCCACTTTTGAGCCCCCCCAAGGCTGGCAGCGGGCAGCGAAGGAGCATACTCACCTGAGCTCTTCCTGCTCAGCTTCCTCTGCGCCGCTTAATGAAGCCGGGAGCCAGAATATGACGTCAGTCCGGCTCCCGGCATCACTAAGCGCTGCTTACTCAGCCTGTGCGCCCCCTGCCTGCCTGCCCAGCAGCCACACTGGACTGCTGGTAAGAAATCCACTCCAGCTTTCCCAGGAGGCTGGGTGGATTTAAAATAAATGTAAAAAATATTAGTTTGTGAGTGTTAGTGGAAATGTCTGTGTGTGTGTCTGTGAGTGTTTATTTTGAAGTGAATGTGTGTGTGTGTGTGTGTGTGTGTGTCTGTGAGTGTGTAATTGTGTGTGTCTGTGAGTGTGTGTGTGTGTGTGTTGGTCAGTGAGTGTATATGTGTCAGTCAGTGAGTGTGTATGTGTCGTCAGTGAGTGTGTATGTGTCGGTCAGTGAGTGTGTGGGTCAGTGAGTGTGTATGTGTCGGTCAGTGAGTGTGTGTCGGTCAGTGAGTGTGTGTCAGTCAGTGTGTATGTGTCGGTCAGTGGAGTCGTGCATCTTTCAGTGAGTGCTTGCGTCTGTCAGTGAGAGTGTGCATCTGTCAGTGTGTGTCCAAGTAATAGTGTATGTGTGTATGTCATTGTTTGTCAGTGTATATGAGAGTGTGTGTCTGTCAGTGAGTGTGCGTCTGTCAGTGAGTGAGCGTCTGTCAGTCAAAGTGCGGCCTTGACAGGAAGGGGTGGGGGAAATTTAAACTCGGTTACAGGCATGTACACACACACTCAGTTAAAGGCAGTCACACATACAGGCACAGGCACAAACAATGGCACAGCTACAGCGACACACACAGACAGACAGTCACATAGGCAGTCACACAGACAGACACACAGTAACACACACATAGACAGTTATACACACACAGGCAGGCAGTCACACAGATAGAAAGTCACACACACAGGCAGGCAGTCACACACAGACAGATAGTTACAGACAGACACACACAGGCAGGCAGGCAGTCACACACACAGGCAGTCACACAGACAGCACAGAGACAGTCACAGTCACAGACAGACAGTCTCACACACACAGGCAGTCACACACACAGCACAGACACACACAGACACACACACAGGGACAGACAGTCACACACACACACACACACAAGGACAGGCAGTCACACAGACAGTCACACACACACAGTCACACGCACACAGGCAGGCAGTCACACAGACAGTCACACACACACACACAGACAGTCACACAAACAGGCAAACAGTCACACACACACACTTACCTCTTTCCAGTGGATGCAGTTGGCTGATGGGGAAGCATCTTTCCCTCTTCCTGTACAGCAGGGGCTATGGGAGGTATTAGCCCCGTCTCCACCTCTCGATAAGCCCCGCCTCTGCCGCTCGGTAAACCCCGCCCCCTCTGCCGCGATTTTTTTTTTTTTTTTTAAATAGACCCGGGTGGAGAATAATTAATCCTCCAGCCAGGTACCTCTTTTAGCTCCCCTGCACTCCGGCCATGAGTGAGCTGTGTCGGCCACAGGGCGCCCCCTGTTCCATGGCGCCCTGTGCGGTCGCACAGCTCGCACACCCCTAAGGCCGGCCCTGGGCACAGGCTGCAGTCTGGCTCCACTGGTCTGGTGTTAAAACAGGCTCTCTAAAGGCAGTACTCACAAATACAATGAACAGGAAGCAGCTTTATTTTTTGGGGCCCCTTACACAGATCACGGTCTGGGCCCCCACGGCCCATAAGGTCTGCCCATAAGCCTGATGCCTACAAGGCCCACCCATGAGTTCGCTCACAGGGAGTGGAGTGTATGTGTGTAGGGGATGTGTTATAGTAGAGGATGTAATGTGTGTGTTCTTATGGAATGTAATGTAAAGGGATACCAGTTTGTGTAAGGGATGTAGTGGTTGTGTATAGGGGATGCAGTGTGTGTTTGTGTGTAAAGAATGCATTATGTGTTTCTGTGTGTGTGTGCATGTGTTTGTATGTGTAAGGGATGCAAGGAGTGTTTCGTAATGCAGTGTGTGTGCCTGTAAAGGGTACATTGAGTGTGTGTAAGAGATGCATTAAGAGAAGCTGTGTGTGTGTATGTGTGTGTGTGTAAGGGACGCATTGTGTGCAAGGACTGCATTGTGTGTGTGTGTATTTGTAAAGGGTGCATTGTGTGTTTCTGTGTGTGTAAGGGAAGAATGGTGTGTTTCTGTGTGAGTGTAGGATGCATTGTATATTTCAGTGTGTGAATTATGTATGTGTGTAGTGTGAAAGAGAGGGTTTGTGGTGTAGGATAGGGCCTGAGAGGGGAGAAGCTCTTTATTTTTATTATTATATTTATTTTGTTAATATAATTGTTTTTGTATATTTTTTATTTAAGTTTTGTGTCTTACAGTCCTGTTTAGTGTATCTCTTACAAAACCCTTTTGTGTCTCTTATCCCACCTCTTTGTATGTCTCCTACATCCTCGCAACCCCTTTGCATGTCTTACTTCCCAATGCCCCTTTGTGTCTTACTCTTCCCAGCTCCTTGGTGTGTCTTTTTTCCCTCCAGGCTCTTCTGTGAGTCTCCCTCACAAGCGACTTTGTGTGTTTCTCTGTTGAGCCCCTCTGTGTGTCTCCCCTACCAGCCCTTCTGTGCTTCTCTTTTACCCCTTCCTCAGCCTCTATGTGTGTCTTACACTCCCCCCGTCCCTTAATCATCTCTTCCACTTCCCCCGTCCGTTAGTGGTCTCAACTCCACCTCTCCCCCTGTCCCTTAGAGGTCTCTCATCCTGTCCCTTAGAACTCTCTCCTCCCCTCCTGTCCTTTAGTGTTGTCCCCTTCCCTCCTCTCCCTTAGTGCTCTCCCCTTCCCTAATGTCCCTTGATGCTCTCCTGTCCCTTATTGCTCTCCTATCCCTTAGTGCTCTCCCACCCCTTAGTGATCTCCCACCCCTTAGTGATCTCTCATCCCTTAGTGATCTCCCCTGCCCCCTGTCCCTTAGTGCTCTTCCCTGCTCCCCTGTCCCTTAGTACTCTCCACTGACCTCCTGTCCCTTAGTGATCTCCCCTCCCCTCCTGTCCCTTAGTGTTCTCCCCTGCCCTCCCTTTCCCATAGTGCTCTCCCTCCCCCCTGTTCCCTAGAGTTCTCCTCCTTCCCCCATCTTTCCCTTAGTGGTTTCTCCTCCCCCGCTCCAGTGTCCCTTAGTGGTCTCTCCTCCCCCCAGTGTCTCTCCTCCCCTTAGTGCTCTCCTCTGCCCTCCCCCTCTCATAGTGCTCTATGTGACCGGCTGAATGCGCGCCCAGCTCTTGCTGCGCGTGTGCATTCAGCTGACTGGGAGGAGAGCTCTCCGCCCAGCGCTGGAAAAAGGTACGTTTTTACCCCTTTCCAGAGCCGGGCGGGAGGGGGTCACTCAGGGTTGAGGCACCCTCAGGGCACTAATGCCAGGAAAATGAGTTTTCCTGGCACTATAGTGGTCCTTTAAATCCATGTAACAACCCCCTTTGCAGTGAGTGTTCTGGGGTGGAAGGCTTTTGGTGACCACAAATGGACTTCTCTCTAAAGCATCCAGCTCATTATCTAACTGTAAATTGGATGAGCTATTTTGACAATCCTTTTCTTCTGTTCCATCCAGTTGGGCCAAACTCCTGGACCAAATAACCCCGTCTTCCTACCCAGTGATTCAGAGTGGGACTGGACCCTTGCCAAAATCTGGGTACGCAATTCAGAGTATCAGGCGCATGAAATTGGAACTCATCTGCTTCGCACCCATTTTCTTGCTGAGGTCTTTAATATTGCTACAGCCAGACAACTTCCAATGGGACATCCTATGTATAAGGTAGGAAATGGCATGGCCAATACAAAGAACACTCCTCTGATTTCAGTTTCTTCTGCCACCCTATTTTGAGCACCTGCTTTGGACATGCTGCTTGCAATGTCTTGGCAATTACACAATCCAGGGAACTCAAACCGCATCTGAGTTAGCTTTGAATAAACTACTATCGTAACAAATTACGTGCAATGTCCTCCATATTTTATGGTAACAATATTGAATAGGTCAGTCCACAATTAAATGTAATTGACTCACTTCTGCTTGGTTAGATTTAGATGCTAACCAATCATTCTGCACCAAAATGAACTATACAGAGGAAAATCTAAAGAGAAACCATATTTTAAATTACCCTTATATCCAGTGGCCAAGTGCTGAATAAATGGCTTTAAGATCAAGTGAGTTTGCTCTGGCACTTTAGGCTTTCCAGTAACACAAAAAAAGCCAGCTTTGTTAATGCAACAACTAAAAAAACAAAAAAAACTGGAATGGGGTGAAGAAACTATGATGGCCATCTGTTTTACACAACTGTTTGTCTGGGAACACCACAAGCTACCTTCATACTTGGTGCTGTAAAGCAATTCTGAAACATCTATGCATTATTTGTGAAAGCAAACTTTCTTTGGCAAGTTCAGTTTTCGTACTCTCTTCCAGCTCGTTGTTCCTCATCTTCGCTATACTTTGGAAATCAATGTTTTGGCAAGAAACCAACTCATAGGCCCTGGAGGTCTCTTCGATAAGGTGATTTCTCTCCTCTCCAAACTTGGCCAGTAGCTAGATGTGTACTTGGGATGGCGACGATAGAAACTAATACTGCATATGTCACGACTATGTAACCAAAATACTTGTGGAACCTAAAATCCAGTTTTGTAGATGATATTGTAAACAATCCCTCTACCCCTGCCCAGGCTTTTGTGACTGGAAATGGAGGTGTACCTGTTCTAGTGAAGAAATCAATGGATGAATTGACCTACAGCTGCCTCTGCCTCCCTGATGACATCAAAGAAAGAGGAATGGAGTCTGTTCCTAATTACTATTACAGAGAAGACGGAATGAAGGTCTGGCTGGCAGTAGAGAGGTAAAAATATATATTTGGTTCCAGCATGTAATCTAAATCTTGGTTGACATGTGACTCCCCAGCATCCTGCCCTATTGAGTAAATGGGGTGACCTCACTGTTGGCCTTATAACTGATCATTAATATGTGTAAATGTATTGCATACTACATGACTTGTCCTTATCACAAAAGGCTCTAAAACTAAATGTCCTTGAACCTTTTGGATACTAACCATGCTTTATTTTTATTTTTTTTACAAGACTTGTGTCTGGTATTGTTAATTATTACTATAAAGATGATGATATGGTCAGCAAAGATCCTGAGCTTCAGGCCTGGGTGGAAGAAATATTCACAAAAGGCTTCTTGGGACGTATATCCACAGGTAAATGTGAAGTGATCTTAGTACAGATGCTTCCCCCTCTGAACAATGTAAATTTTATTTCTAGTTTATCAAGCGGCCTTCTCTTGTCCAAGAGCACTTGTCTTAAATTTCAGATACCCTCTCCTCCCAAACACTAACTTCAACTCAGCAAAATAAAGTCTATTTAAAGTACAGAATAACAGTTCTATGATCTATTCCACAGGAGTCCCTTCTTCTCTGGGAACACGAGCTGAGCTCATTAAATACCTGACCATGGTGATC